AGAGAGAGAGAGAGAGAGAGAGAGAGAGAGAGAGAGAGAGAGAGAGAGAGATATATGCCCTGGATACATTGATGTGATTTATCTTGTCGTTCCTTTATGTTCAAGTTCAAGATGTTTGTGACTGCATGCAATGATTTTCGTTTCCTTAGTCCATGTCATTTATAATTTATATTGACTTGTATCTTCTGTCGGTACTTTTGAACTTATTGCACAGTTGAGCATTTAGACTCAGTTGAGCACTACAGTAATTTCTTTGTAAAGTCTAAACTTTGAGTTTCGGATTTTATTACAAAAACAACTTAAAAAAAATAAATAACCCCCCCCACCTGCGAATATTAACAAAGAATACAATGCACAATGAACAACAAGAAAAGGGGAAAGAAAAGTAGGGCCTCATCATGATGTAATTTTGTAGTAGTTTCCCTTGAATAAAAGCCGGCTGTAGATACCAGCTTGTCTCTACTCAGTAACCGTCCGCTCAACTTTGCATTAGCTCTTAATATTTCAATAGGGGTTAGTACTAAATGTCTTATAGTTTTTTAGGCTTCCAATATTAAGCAGAGTTCTGTGAGAACTGTAAAGAGCAGGTTTAGTAAGGATACATAATTTATACAATTGTGTTTTCCTTCGATATAAGTTTGAATGGTAAATCTTTACAAAATCTGACATAGATTTGTTAGCTTCCGGTTCCGGTGAATAGACTTGTTTTGTTTAGCTAAAGCTGTCTGTCTCACCCGAGAAGGCCACACTTGACAGTGAACTTCTCACTTATAACACGCGACAACCAAAGGCCTGGAGCAGGAGAGAGCTGATCTTCAAAACAGAGAAGTGAGAACATTACTTTTGTTTATACCGAAAACAGTAATGCTTTCAAGAGGTTGGTTAGGAGATCTAAAGAAGGTTTGGCAATCGAGTTGGCTTTGTTGTTGCCATTGTTGGACGATCACCACTTTCACTTTTATTATTGTTTTGTACCATACTTCCTTTTCTACTACAGTCTACAGCCTGGCACTCTAGCCTGGCACTCTAGATCTATATCTTTTTAGTTTTATGTATAAAAATAACATAGATCTATATCGACTTTAACCTTGTTGTGTAACATGACCTGTTGCAGTGATATAGTCTATGCCAAGCTAGAGTCCTCTTTTGACTGACTGCTGCCTGCTGAGTCAGCCCCACTCTAGTCTCATGATGGCATGGGCATGGTTGTTCATTTTAGACATTTCATACATGAGTGTGGTCACACAAATCTGCTGCCTTTGACTCTAGATCTAGTATGCCTATGGCTAATAAGGACACATTTACATATCCTCTAACCTAAGCCTCACCTTGCTGAGTCTTAAGTAACAGTAACATTGATTCCTTGATTGATTGCGACCCATCAGACTAGATCTAGATCTAGATTTAGATCTAGAAGTTACCATTACCATGATCAATGTTTACAATGCATCCATTGCTAATGTTTACTAACTCAGTCATACCTGGTCTAATCTAATGGCTACCCGTTC